GCCTGAAAATAGAAGATAACAACACACACACACCCACTGCCTATATGAACATTATAGAATATTGACGTGTAACGTACCACCGATGTACAGGGCAGTCCCAGCCCGAGAAGATACATGTGAATGATTTGTGATTATCGAGGCTCTTGGAGACTTGTCATCTCTCAGAGCCCAGCGCGCTGTAATAACTCTGCATTTAACCAGAAGAAAATAAATCTACGTAAAGCTGATTCCTGTTTCCTGAGTGTTACTTCTTGGGGCCTTCAGACAAAAGAACCGGGCAGAATTAAAACACTGGCAATGGACCACAGCAGGGAATAGAGTGTGACCAAAAATAAATAAAAACTCCCATGTGTATTCCAGCCAATTTGACCTTTGGAACAGTTGACATCTTTGTTTGGTAAAGTTTTTATTTATTTATTTTTGTTAATAATTTTAACTCCTCTTTTAGTTTTTCTCATTTGACTGTCTTTACATGTTTCCCACAAATCTTCAGCTGTGTTGCCTTCAAACTCTGCATGGACAAACATTGCCACAAACTAATCCCCCCGCTTTTGATAATGAAAAAAAAACAACTTCTAGAACTACTGACTTCTCTGTTGTGGTGTTTAACCTGGTTAAACCCATGTTTAGTTGTTATGTATATTAGGGGAATTTACATAAACATGATGCAGTTAATATTGTCATTATTATTACTGATATACTTCTATTGTTGTTTGTTTTTTTTTACTCAGATTTCTGCATGTTTGTTCAAAATTGGTAAAACTGATAAAAAAAAGAAAAAGAAAATAAAGGTTAAACTGGAAGAAGCGTTTGGGGAAACAAATGACAGCGGCCCTGATACTAATCAATCCACAGCCATGATGAAACTGTAAAAGAAACTCTTACCTTCTACTTCTGCTTGTGAAGAGACAGAGCAGGACGTAGATTGAAGATCCATGTAGCAGTCATCCTGCCACGTGATGCGTTTGCTTCGGTCTAGAATGGAGTCGTAATGCATCCTTTCCATGACCAAGTCTGATGTATTCCTATTTGCGTCTACACAATATAAAACAGCATTACACAGTGATGAAGTGAGGCGAATAAATAAGCCAACCTCAGTTGTGTCCAAAACATCTGGCATGAGGCGACTATAAACCTGCCTTAACACAAGTAAAAAAAACAAAACAAAACAGCAAATTTATATATACATTAACATTAAATACTTCAGGCCAATTTTTTACTTGATATTGGAAAAATGTATACAATATGGAGAGAGAAACAGCTTCACCTTCAGTTGTCTGATTTTACCGGCTCCAATTCAATAAAAAAAAAAATCATATTAGCTTTTTTTGCCAAAGATGCTGAAAAAGTATTAGTCAGAGTTGTAAATAATATCAGGAAAACATCTATTCTGCTACTTTTGCTCTTTACTTCATTGAAAGGATAGAAATGTGGATTTGTCTCTTTGGCCGCAGCTTAGATTCCCTTCCTGTTCCCCAAGGTTCAGTCAGTCTGTTGTTTCTGCTGCTGCTATTCAAGATACTCATTTGAAAATATGGTATCAATTTCTGTTAATAAACTAATGTCACATTTCTGCTTTACTTGAAGATCTCAGTCACTGATAACAACTTAGATGTTTAACAGGTAAATAAGGGCAAAACAGAGGAACTGCCTGAGCATCAGGGATTCTTTTTGAAAATGTTTTAAATCTATAAACCTATAATAACTGATATTTTGGTCAATGTATAGCAGAAACACACTGTAAACAATAACACTATGTTGATATGGTAAACCTGTTTGCCAAGACTTGCTTATTTACACATCCAGATGTGCACATATTTGCAAACTTCGATGCAGTAAAAATATTGCAAACACATTTTAATGCCTTCCTGTGTGGTCTGCTGCTGATCATGTAACTTCTCTCAAAGGAAACGTATTCAACAAGCCAGACCTCAGAGCACTGCCCAGCTTCCGGTGTTACATTTACTAATATTAATGACCTAAACATGTTAGAAATATAGTGATGGAAATTTATAAATGTGTCGAGAAGAGTATCAAGTGGTCATAGTGATCAAACCTATACAGAAAACCAAGTCTGTAAAATTACACAATAACTATCAGCCAGTAACAAGAAAAGGTACCACTGTATGCTCAAAATGTTTTGTAGCTTATTGCAAAGTGAATGAAAGTCTGTTCTATTAGTTTACATAAGAAACAGACTGAAGTCTGGAGTCAGTTTTAAAAACCTCCTGCAGCTGCGAACTTGAATTTGAAGTGAAATGCGCAGACCACAAAAATGAGGAAACTCACCGATGTCGTGAACTCATCTGAAGATGTTAAAGGATGGAAAATGCTCCCCACACAGATGTTTTATATAACGCCATCACTCTCACAAATACAGATGTAGGAAAAATAAGAGTAAAAAAAAGAGAGATGTCTGATGAGTTGAAAACTAACGAGCAAATGAAACCAAATGAATACACAGGAACTGAAGTCATCAAAAGTCAGTACACCGTATTGCTGCTGGAGATGCTGCAGCTCCTTCCTGTCTGTTTCGTCTGCTTTCCTGTGTTGAGGTTGGCAGATTAAAGAGTGAAAAGAAAATTGTTCTACTTAGTACTTGTGCGTGCAATGTGACATGGGCCAAAGTCTGAGAGTGTAACCACACGACAGTTTTTTCTATTAAGATACCTACTCACTGAGCACTTGGTGCTAAACCACAAATGAGAGCAGACCTGAGAGACAGACCTATTACTGGTGTTAAGGCTTGCCAAAGGGTTCAGGTTGCATGTAACTTATACTGCAGACAGGTGATAAACAAACCAAATAATTCTGGTTAGAAAACTGTAAAGAACAAAGAAAATATTCTTTAAGATGATGTTAGCAGGAGGCAATGTTGCTGCAAGTATTCTTCTCAAAAATACAGTATTATACATATCTGTATTGTGCATAATAATGTATGTAGGTATTGCACAAAGACAGCTGAAAGTGTACAACAGTAATGCTCAGTGAACGTACCAGCTCCATTACTACCAGCCAAACAAACACAAAAATTGCATTCAAACATTGGGGTTGACTTGAAAAACAACTGTGAAACAATTTCACATCTGCAGGAATATTATTTTGTTTCGCTTTATTTTAAACCTGCTACATTTTCATGACATTGGAAGGAAGACACTGATAAGACAGCTTTTACATTATGACCTGGGGTTTCTAGTGTTTCCAGTGACATGCGGACATACGCTGCTACAGACATAAATATTTACTCCAAGTTTTTTCTCAGTCATGCTGAATTCTGCCAATCCTGATCTGTGAATATGCAATTGAGGTAAAAAAAAAAGACAATATTCTTTGTTCAGCCATATAGCTCCTACTGATCAATAGTTAGAGATACACAAACTTATTCACATTGATGTTAAACAAGTGCTCTGAGCCTAAGTGTTACATCACCCTGTGTTGTGTAATGTTCATCATTGTGTATCTTTTCAAGAGTCAACACATTTGCATGTAAATATATTATTTGGGGACAAATCTTGAGGTTCGTTTGACTCCTGCTGCTTTTTGTTCAATAGTTATGCGTACTATTTTACACTGAGGCTATAAAAAATTTACAATGTCTACAACGAGACAATTCAACAATATTACATAACAATTTCAAGGGGGAAATATATTTGCTTCATTTTACACAATAATACAGTATTGCTTTAAAATAAATCTGATTTCATAGGGCTAATTTAGCTTGGCAGAGGTGTATAACAGAAATTAAAAATGAGGAAAATGGTATTGAGAAGGAAAATCTCCTCAGCAAGTTAAGTAAAGCAAGCAAATGAGTATAATCCTTTACACCTCAGCAGATGAGTAAGGCAACATTACATGACAAGGCAGGTGGCACACTGACACTGTCAAATAGACCATATCCAAGCTTATGTTTATTTCATTGCACGTTGTATTGGAAATGTTATGATTATTTTTGAATAAACCTTGATTTTTAGAATCAATTAAAAAAAGTGGAACCCAATCAAAAACTTTCCAAACTTCTACAATAACTTAACATTTCAGACTGGTGATACAGTAAATTGCCCACCCCCAATGGTATTTACACTTCTGGCTGCAGCAGAGTTGGCTGCATGTTCCCTCCTATAAATGAGGAATCACAGCTGAGCAACTAACACACAGGACAAAGTAGCAGTAGTAGGTTTCTAAGCCACTAAAAATACAAATGAAACATAATATAGCTAATTTTTTTTTTCTCAGCACCAAGCAGTCTCATCTCTAAAAACACATACCGTTCATTCAAGAAATGACTAACACCAGCCTCTCACATCTCTTCTTTCTACTAATGTAAACAGTTTGCTTTAAGTAAGCATACATAAGTGGTTAGCTAAAGATATTCACATTTAAAAAAGACAATCAGGCCCTTTGAGTGACACAAGTCTAAACTGAACTATTACAGCATGTAGCAGGAAAATGAAGCAGGGCGTCAGTCCAGTTTGAAGAATACATGTGAGATAATATCTTGGTTATTATACCTGCTGTTAAGACACTGTAGTACCTGTTGAGAATGCAATGATGGGAAGAGCCTTCTGCATAACACAAGAAATGGTTGTTTAAGATTTAATGGCTTTGTCAACAAAAATGACCTTTTAGGACTCAAGTATTTTTTTAAAAAACCTCCCTTTTCTTTTAAAAGTAGTAACCAGCACTGTTCACAGGCAACAGTTGTACATGAAGTATAAAATTATCTAAAAGCACAATTATTTTCTTACACTTCAAATCAGTGGCTGTCTGATTTGATGCGTCACCGGTGCCATGAAATATCACATAACACACTGGAAGCAACTGCACTGTTAAGAAACACCTACAAGTCATTTTCATCAGTGATCTCCCAAGGACACAGAGAAGGACACCTGTGGAAGCATTTCATTTCCAAACAACTGTGCAATCACTTAAAGCTGCATTAATTAACTTCTTCCTCTAATTTTTGACCATTAAGGGCAAAGTGAGAGTCAAAACAACCAAGACATAACCTCGGATCAGTGTGGTGCAGATTTTAACAACAGTAGCCACAGAGGACAAGAAATAAACACAAGGGCTGAAGATAGAGTGGGGTGGGGGGGTTTAGTACAGCAGGGAGACAACACTTCTAGACAATTTTTTACTTGATTTATCCAAATTTGTGCTAAATCTTAATTAATGCAGCTTTAAGTTTGAATTAACATCCGATTACCCCTAACCTCTCGCTCGCTCGCTCCCACACACACACAAGCATTTCCTGACACGAACAGTGATCGAAGCCTGGATTATAGATCTGACAGTCCCTCTGCATGTTCACTCAGCTCCATGGTGTAATAGTCCTGAGGACGCCTGAGAATAGAGACAACAATGTTAAGGATCTCCCACATGCACTGTGAGTCTACAAATGGTAATTACACAATAGTTTCTATTGCCAACTATTCCTGGAGTATCTTATTGATAAAGTTTACCATTTACCTTTTGACTGACCCAACTCGGCCCTCAGCATTATATACTACCACAGCTTCACTCTATGATTTGTTGCATTTCATTTTAAGAAATAAGGCTGCTCATTTTCTATATTAACAGTATTTCCATACAAAGACTAAAACCAGAAATGATTTGCCTCTATTGACAGTTAATGTCTGTCAATCTCTCTGTCTTGGATCAGCTCCTTCATTTGTGCCATTGACCTCCATTGTTGTTCAAAAATGATTAAAAACACATCAGTGAAACACATCGCTGCACTGGGGGGCAGGTTTCTTGCACAATATCTCGCACATGCGCAGTTGACTCTGACTCATGCTAACCTTTGGGGCAACATAACTGGGTCTAGTATTCTGTAATGAAAAACATGTCACCCAGTGCAGCGGTATGTTTCCCTGATGTGTTTTTAATCGTTTTTGAACAACAATAGAGATCTGTTACACAGATGAACAAGCTAATCCACGGCTGACAGCTGACAGACCTGTGAGTAGAGGCAATTCATTGTCAGTTTTAGTCTATGGATGGAGATTGTTGAAACATTATTAATAGAGAAAATGATCGGCCTTATCCCTGAAGGGACACTCAAGCATTTTTTTAATTGGGAAACATAAGAAAATGAAAAGTCAAATTTTAATCAGCACAACCAGAAATATCTTGACTTCTAGTCTCTAATAAAACATTTCTCATGAAGCCACTCAGTGGCATCTTACATTAGACCCTTTCTGCCTGATAAATGCCCATATCCAGCGCAGAAGACAGACATAAAAAGAATAATGTGAATAACAATAGTCTCACCTCCTCCTGTAGAAGTATTTGAAGAGAGCAACTCCTAGCCCCAGCAGCAAGAGCACTGCTATGATCAGCCCGATCTGAAGCCCGAGGGTAGACGCTAGGAGAGAATCAAATCAGAGCCTAGTTACACTTTCTGAACAAGCTGAGTTTAAAAGCAACATGGTAATTAAAACACCCTGATGAAGCTGTAAACCAGCAAAAGATTTGGTTCCCTTCAGATGAATAGCTTACCTAAAGGTTCAGAGAATTCAGCGGGCCTGTATATAAACCATGGGTGCGTGGCACAAACATTAACGAACACAATTTCACTCAGTAAACCTGCTTCAGTTGCAATCCAATCAAATGCACAGACATCCTGCCCTCCTCTACTAGCAAATAATTATTTGCCAATCACCTGTCACTCAAATGAGTTACGCATGTCAGGTTACTGTCATGTTTGTTTACATCAGGCCCCGGTCAGCCGGGAGGTTCATCCCCAGAGCCATCTTGCTGTGAGACAACAGTGTTAACCACTGCATCATTGTTCCACGTCCCCAAAATTATATAGTATAGTATATAGCCACACATTTCACTACCTATATTTGCACTATATGAGATAATTGACACATTTGGGAGAGGACTCACCACCAGGGGTTGGATGCTACCATACGCAGTTTTATTCATCATGTTTTAAGACCCCAGAGAGCACACCAAGGGGATATAACAAGGCTGATTCTCACAGCAGCCAAAGGACTATTAAACAACTGACTTAGCTAACTTAGTATTTGATTATTTTAGAAGAAGTGATGACGAATTAGCTGGGAAACCTTTCATGTTTGTTGGGCAGCTGGTGATATGTGCTAAAAAGGTGCTAACCTGTGCTCGTGTAACGGTCCGTGGTAGGGGAAGAACAGATGTCTCCCTGAGCAGATGAAGGACTCATATGCGATGTCTGGATGATGAGGGCCTTCTGATGGTCCGACAGTGCTTGGATGTTCCCCCACACTCGCAGCCAGCCAGACACGCAAGAAACGTTGGCTCCTTGAACGTAACCAAACAGATGCACTTTCCATTATCTACACTTAATGTTCAACAGGCGATTTAGATGCTGTGTTGATTTTTAGGAGTCACATTCTGTCCTCGGGGTTAATGATGTCAGTAGCCTGTAACCATTTCTTTTTCACTGAAACCCTTATAAATGAGCAGAGTTTTTCAAAGTTAATGGATGAAAACGTCAGTTCTTACATTAAAAATCTGCCAAATATGACCATTTCAAGTTATGGTGAGTAAAAGTGCCTAACCTTGGAGATACAAGGCAGAGATGCCACAGTGACACCTCTGCTCCAGGTAGTCAGCCACCTCAGCGATCCTCTTCCCCTTTATCAGACCATTGCAGTCTGTGGACAACACACAAGGAGCAGTCAGCTTTAGCAACTGACTATTTACTGTATTATGACCATTAGACAAAAACAACAACAACAAAAACAACTTTGGACATCATTTCATATTTTTGACACATTAATTCCATTCCATTAATCCACACATTATGGTTTAATATTAACTGCTGTAATTTTCTTTTCTTTTCAAAGACACTTTTGTAGCATGTTCACCTTTATGAGACAGATGGCAATAAGTGCAGTCAGTGAACATGGGGAGAGAGGCGGGACATGACACGCATAGATCCCCAGCCCGGGATCAAAGCAGGGTCGTTGCACCTACATGCCTCTTCACCATTAGGCATTTAAGAGATGTATGCCTGAATGCACTTTAAGTATATTTAAAGCCACTATGTGTAGGACATTTATCTCAGTGCCTTAAACTGAGATCCGGAGGGGTGAGGATAGCAGCCAAAGTCCAGTTCTATGTAGAGCTGTTTAAATAGCAGAGCCATATTTTAAATAAAATCAAAATGCTCTCTATCCCTAAACCCTATTTTATTCAGATTCACATTCTTATGCTTTTTCTTTTGTTAATTTAGACTAACTCACCTCCTGAGTGCTCCTGCCAGTCACTGGACAGGGGTTCAAGGCAAAGGTCAATGTGACTTGAGAACACTGGGCTCGGACATAGGTTTGTGGTGGTGGGTGTGGGGGAGGAGCTTGTCCAGGAGGAGGGGCTCCTCACCTCGCAGCAGGAACACCGGCTGAGTGAGACAGGGCCAGCCTCCACCGACCTGCACATGCAATAATAAATGTACACAGCCATATCGCTCCAGCTTGTGACTCTCATGTGTTTATATAAATTCAAGTCACAGACATAATCTTCCGTTAAGGTGCAAAACTGAAACTTGCCAACCATTTTAACCCCATAATGTCACGCAAATTCTGAACGTATTTCTCAAATCTTTATAGACCCTTCTAACAATACAGGATAAACAAATCCAGTCTGGTTCAGGAAAACATCATTTTAATTGGTTTCTCAGTTATGTCCATTCATCTCATATAAACAAAGATGGCAAGAGGAAATGGCAGCATCAGTCTGGCTTTGTTTGAAAGCGGCTCAACATTCACAAAAAGAAAAAAAAAGTGAGAGACAATGCCATTTCCTGTTGCCATCTTTACTTTTCTGAAAAGTAAATTCTTTCAAATGAAAAACTGACAAAATGTATATTTTTCCTGGACCAGACCAGATTTTTTTTTTTTTTTTAGTTCCACATCGTTACAAGAGTCTATGACGATTTGGGAAAAACCTTCAGAATTTGGGTGAGTGTTATGAAGTTCTTAGACAATTGCACTGTTGTGTTCGGTCTGCGTTTACCTGAGAGCTGGAATCACTTGTCTCCCTCTGGTGGTGGACAGAGAGGAGAGTAGCTGCTGGTTCTCACTAAACACAATTACGTCTCTGAGGCTGGAGTTGGTCAGAGCTGTGCCAGCTCTGCAGACGCTGAACAGATCATAGCACAGGACAACTGCTCCTCGTGCAGGCACCGTGGAGCCCTCTGGGAACGTCTGATCTATGCAGGAAAGAGCAGAGGTGAAGGTGAAAGATAATGGCAATGGCTACACAACAGGAAAAAGAACACACAGACTGCAGGAGAAAGACTGTTTAAGAAGGAGACATGACAATATTTTTGGTCTTACGGAAGGTTTTCACTGCCCTCACCTGCTCCAGTGACATTTCCGACAATATAAAATCCATGCTGGTCAATAGATCCGGTCAAAGGAAGGGCAATGACAGTCCCAGTGCGCTCCTGGTCAAACACAGTGAGCACCAGGCCTTGCAGGTCTGTCATGGGGAGGCCGTGCAGCTCCACAAAGGCCCTCTGCTGGCTGTGATTGGTCCAGTGGCCACTAGCCACTTCACTGATGACCACACCTTCAGGGGCTGGAGGTGGGCGGGGGCAGCTGTTCTCCCTCAGAGGAGTGGGTGGAGCCACCTGTAGCAATCCATGCACATCTTATGTTTGCAACTTAAAATTTTACTTTAAAATTTTCAGTGACATTTCCCATAATCTGAGATAGAATTGACTCAAATATTAGCGTAAAAAGAGAAACATTTTGTTTAGTCACTGTTGGCTAGTTAGCAAAGTTAGCCAGTAGCATGTATGACACACGCTCCTGACTTAGTATAAGACCATTTACCATTTAATCTCTGAAATATTTCCCCTTTCTACTCACTGAAAAAGCAGACAGGTCATGGGGATAAAGGCCTCTACAGCGGCTGAGGGCCTCATCACCAGGCAAAACCTCTGGGTCCTCCAGGAGAGGCAGTTGTCCTGGGGTCAGAGCTTTGCTCAGATCCTGCACCTCCTTATCTGATCCTCTCTGTCGGTACACAACTGCATCCAGCAGACCTTTAGTAGGGATTCCCCTTTGTACAGCTGATGGTGGGCCAATAGGGCTGCGGTACAGCGCCACAGCGTCGGGTCCATTCTGGATGGTATTAGGAGGCAGGCGAAGTGATGGGGCTGGCACCAGCCTGTCACTACCCAATAGAAAGTAACCCTTAGAGGTGGTGAAGTGTCCGTTCAGGTTGATCTCCCTGTAGGGTCTGTTGTTGTGTGCACTGAACAACAGTATCCAAATGCCCTGCAGGGAGACTCTGCGACCTGATGGGTGCCATAGCTCAATGTACTCGCCGTCTTCAGCTGCACCAGGTGTATCAGTGTTAAGTTCATTGATTAGGAAGTCACTGTTCCCCCAGGGCGGGAGGTGAGGTGTTGAATCTGTACCTCCTGGAATCACTGATGTATAAAACAGGCATTTATTAGTTCATAGTAAAGGAAAAGTTTGAAATTTGGCAAAATACAACATTTTCTTTTTTCCAAGAGTTTGACTGATGTCATTCACATCTGCCTGTTAAATCTGAAGATACAGGCAGCAGGCAGGTGGCTTAGTATAGTAGGAAAGATTACTGGGGCTATGTGTCAGACTTTTTTTAGGCAAGCATAATGGCTTCCTAGAGTCTCCACAAGCTTAACGGCTAATCCAGCAAAAATTGGTAGAACTGACTTGCTGAGGACTGTTTGAGTGCTACCTGAAAAAGCACAGCCATTCCTGCAGAATACACCTGTACATTTATGTTTAAATGATACAATAGGTTTATTTCTAGACCTGTCGCTGTATGGAGTACCACTGATTAAAGATGAACAAAGAACCTACTGTCTTTTCTAAAGAAGCTTGTTTAAAACATCTCATCTGGTGTAACTCAGGGCAGAATTTAATATATAAATAAATAAAGATCCCCATGAGCATTCTAGGGAGGTGAGTGTATCCTTCTGAGAAGTTCTCCATGGGTCCCCGACATAAAATAAATAAAAATCTGCATTCATATACCGTACATGTAGCTCCCTGTGTCACATCTGCCCAGTATTCAACAATTAACAACAGTCCCTCACTGCAGATGCCTCCTCCTCCTCATTTCTCCATAATGCCGCAGTATCGCGGTCTCACAAGCTACTGAGTCAGGGCCATGACCTAATGCTCCACATCTCATTTACAGAATTAGTTTTTAATGTATGCTGCTTTAAATAATGTGTTTTAACATTTACACATTTTGGTTTTTAACATATAACCTTTAAGGTACTTTCAGGGTGGAATTAAGTACTGTTCCTGTAAACATAAAGGTCCTAGAAGGCACAAATATTGTATATTGTTTCTTATGTGTAGCTAACAAACTCAGAACTGCAGGGAGGTGCATTCAACTGCACATATGTGTTATAAAGGGAAGCTTAATAAAAATAAAATACAGTAAGTGTCACGAAACACACTTTAACACTCACCGATACTGTGAGGGCAGATCTTCGGCCAGGGGCACTGGTTGGACTGTCCAGGAGTTTGCGGAGCCTCCCAGAAGACGCCAGGGTCTCTGGCCCAGGTGGCCACACCACAGCGACTGAGGTAAAAGCCTCCCTCTCTCAAACTGACCAAAAAATCATTAAGGAAAAAGCATTACAAAATGGTCTTCATTTGAAGGGCTGCCACAATATCTTAACAACCTTCCATCAGATGTACTGGCATGAAATTTTAACAAGACATTCCCACTGACTTTGGTGATCCCCTGACTTTTCCTCCTGCGCTACCAACAGGTTAACATTTTTGGTTTTGAGTAAGACCTCTTCACAGCCATTAGATGGACTGAAATGAAACTGGTACACTTTCAGGTTCCGCTCAGGATGAATTTTCACACCTTGTTGATCCTCTGACTTCTAGCTCACTGCTCATCAACAGGTTTTGTTCCACACACTCAGAGTTTCTCTATGTCTGAAGGAACAGTCTGCAGTATTTTATAACACATTTTATGTTCAGGAGTCTTCAATCTAAGAACACAGTGATGATCTTCTTCTCCAACTCAGGCTCTTCTGCTGCTGCTGTTTTTTTTTTTTTAAAGATAAACGTACATTGACACACGATAATATTTCTAGCTCCACTGGAAACTCTTTATTTACCTATTGCTATGCTGAATCGTAGTATCGGAGCTCCATTGATGATAATATTTTTGGAGCGAAGTGTGTTTAAGTCAAAGTCTACTTGTGACTTCTGCACCACTGTGATGACACATATGCCAAACAGAGAAAGAAATTTGCAAAGAGGAACAGCGGTCAGAAGCTGAACCTCTCCCTGCCACAGAGTGAACTGTCCAACTGAATGGGTTTCGCAACACTTCAAATTATGGCCTCAAAAACAACCACTGAACATTACCAACACCACCAAAACACGGCACAACTTTCACCAAACTGGTCTTGAGTCTTTTTGCCTCTTGTCTGTTCTGCAGTCCAGGAGTGGAAAACTCTCAACTGTCAGTTTCTTACCTGCTGCTGAGTTGGTAGGGCTGTCTGCCTGGGATGAGAGTCTCTGTGAGGTTGGGACTTGGCTTGTTTCCAGGTCCAGCAAACACAAACGCATCTAAAGGCTGAACCTGGCTCAGTGGACCCCCCACAGGGAAGTCTGTAGCTCTGCCACTGTAAATAGCCACCGCCCCAGACTCATCCCCTGAGAAGAAATCATAAGAGGAACAAAGAATGAAAGTGAATGAATGAATAAAAATTGGATAAAACACATAAAGTCTCATTTTGGCTTCCTAATGCACTTAATAGATGAAATGATCTGGCTCATACAGAACTGTAAACTTAAAGTGCAGATAAATTGCACTGTTCACAGGGTGCTGACCTTTCATGTAGTTCTTCTCTATGGTCATGGAGATCAACCCATTCCGGGAGGAGTTCACATCCACGTCCACACTCACACTGACCCTGTCTGTTTTCCCATCCAATACCACCAGCACCAGAGGACCCGCAGCTGGAGCTTCTGTTAGCTCCACAAACCCTTCCACCTGCCCTCCTCCCAGTTTCAGCTCAGTAATGACCGGACTGGTTGCTGGAGCAGCAGGTGGGGTGCAGTTGTTTCGTTGACCTGGGGATGGTGAAGCCACCTGAAAGCCCCAGTGATCTTCAGACAGCAGGCACCTCTCAATTGACTCATCCCCCTCCAGCGCCGTTTCATCCTCGACGAAGGCTGGTTCCCCGGGTGTCAGAGTTTCAGCGAGGATCTCTGCTCCCCCAGTACGGCGAGTCATGTACACGACGGCGTCCACCAGCCCGTGACCTGTGACATTCATCTTCTCGCTGTAGCGAGCAGCAGATGTGTGGTAGAGGACAATGGCGTCTGGGCCGTTCTGAACTGTGTTGGGAGGCAGGAGGATGGCCGGTTTGGGCAGCATGTCCACTGAACCCACCAGGAAGAAACCTCTGTCATCTGTGCTGTGGCCTTTGAGGTCCAGAACCTTGTAGGCTATGTTTCCATTTCCATTATAGAACACAAGGGTGTAGCCGTCCAGTGAAGCCCGCTGTCCACTGGTGTGATACAATTCCACAAATTCTGTGGTGTCCAATCTCGGGTTGTCTGCGTTGATCTCGCTTATGATGAGGCAGGGGTCACCGCTGACTACCACCACCAGACAGAGACAGGCCAAACTCACCAGCATGATTTACAGCTTCTCTGAAATGCCTGAACAGCAGGACAGCTCCTGCAAAGAAAGGAACCAAAACACCACCAGTTGCATTCCTCTAGAGCTGCAATAATCAGCAGATTAATCAAATTCTCTGGTTTCAGCTTCTCAGATGTGTCTATTTGCTGGTTTTCTTTAGTGTTTCTTTTAGTACTGCAGAATTGGTTAGAGTCACCTCCAGCTTTAGAAATCATGATTAGCATTTTCACAATTGTCCAATATTTTAGGAACCAGTTAACTGAGAGAACAACCAACAGATAAATCGATAAGAAATACTGCACCCTTCATCCGTCAAAACTAGAAATAACTGAATGAGATTAAAAGCATCAAGTCCTGACAAAACTGAACCACAGATAAGGATCGACTCCTGCCCTCCATAGCACTGTGGTTACATTTTATAATGGCTACGCCACAGACCAAAACGAGAAACCTCACAATATCATGAATGCGTCTTCTGTGAGTCTGGTTTTTGTTCATGGTGACACTGGGATCGCACGTCTTCTGCATGAGTCATGAAATGTTGCGAAACACTGGCAAGCAGATGGAAACTTGGCATGAAACGGTAAAATGCTTCAATAGCATTAAATCGACAAATAACCTAAGATAAATTAAATTTGCATCAGTTTTTCTGGCGTAACCTTCCAAATCCTATTCCATCCCCAGACCACTCAAAAGCGTCATGGCTTTAACGTTAACTGTAAAATGTGCGTTAAAGAGGCAACAATAGTTTGCACGTCAGCCTCTCTTTAACAACAGCACACCGGGACAAAAAGAGGCCTTTATGGGCGAGGAAGGAACCTCTGGTGTTAAATTCTACTATGAAATTATCTAGCATCCCACAACAGTTATTCCAGTCACGGTTATGCTGCTATGCGTGCGTCTTCCTGTGGAAAAAAAAGACTGTCAGTTTGCTTTCTATCAGTGCCACGCAAGGTCCTAAAACGCGTCCTGACTTACTGTATTTTCTCGCTCCTTGTTGTCCAGGTGTCGCTTGTTGCACCGTCGAAACGTCTCGATTCAATATGAAATGGTCAGCCGTCGGAAATAATGTTGGCAAACTTTTGTTTTGTGCGCTCCACCGCTCCCTTCATTCACAAAGCAGCACTTTCTCGCCCCGGATTGTGGGCGGTCAGACTGGCTGAGGGGGACGATGCCTGCCAGGGAAGCTCTCGCTTTTTTTTTTTTTCTCCTACGGATCAGGGTGGGCGGTCAGGCTGGGTGGGGGGGACGGTGCCTGCCAGGGAAGCTCTCGCTTTTTTTTTTTTTTCTCCTACGGATCAGTACACCATTCAGCCATCCACAGCTGAAGATAAAACACCAGTAACCTAATGCTGCGGGGAAACAGCCCCCAGTGATGTTGCCACAATGTGTTTATACTGCAAAGTGTGGGATTTTATGTTTTTGAAATTCATTTGTAAAGACCTGAATGGGGCCCCTGACCCCACTTTGTGAAGAGCAAGTTCACTGGCTTCAGTGGGAGCTGAAATCCCGTCCAGCACCAGGTTGTATCTGTGACTATAGGCTTTGGTTGATGTTTAGATTTTTGACTTTCTCAAAACGTGTAAACGCGTGATATTACTGACCTCCAGAGTAAAACTCAGATTCGTATTTGACAGAGGTACGTCAAAACCTCATGGGAGGTGAATGCAAAGCTGGATGACCAATTGGGCAAAGCAGGCCACACACCCAGGGGCCACCAGGTTCTAATAATTTGGGATAAGTGATTTTGTTGCAGATTTCATAAAAAATATAAAGGACTGTAAAGTGGGTCCTGTGTTTATCTAGGACCTGTGTTGAAGAGGGGCCTATTATATATATCAAAATACACTTTTATATACTGCATACAGGCTACATGAATGTGAAATCTGCTGTTCTGCAAATATGATTTGATGCATTTGCACTTTTACTTAAGTAATATTTTGAAATAGAATTTTGTAATAAGGTATTTCTACACTGTGGTATTTCTCCTTTTACTTAAGCAAAGGATCTGATTAGCATTCCCCCCACCATTGTACCTTTTACTGTGCATGTTCATAATACATATAATATACATAATAGAAATGTCTATTTGCCAACTGTTTATATGTATATTATATGTATATTATATGTATATTATATGTTCATAATACATATAATATACATATAAACAGTTGGCAAATAGACATTTCTATTATGTATATATATATGTATACAGTAAATGGTCCCCAGCTCCTGTATTCTATGCAATTTTGAGTGTATTAGAACCACAGCACCACAACACTTTGTTTCTATAAGAATACTACATTATAGACTAGAATGCCACTGTAAACCCTTAGCATCACTGCTTGTGAATATTTTAATGATTTTTCATTTGTGCATGTTAAGATCAGGCAGAGCACTAATCTACTGTAAATATAAATATCCAATCACTTAATTTATTGTTTTTTTTCTGGATAACTAACATATTTCCTGGTGAATACTGAGGGCTTTGACTCTTTGATTTATGCCTTGCTTGAGAAATAGAACAATGTGCACATAAGTGTTTCAATATGTTGCTACACTTGCACAGGCCTAAAACCATCCTCCTGCAGGCTTCTGCTGCCAGAGGACCGAGGCTGACCTTGAGCATCCATTTAATGTAAAATTGACCTCAACAAATGGGGTTTTAGGAACATTGTTGTAGAGTATTGCTTAAGCACATAGTTTAATTTCTCTTCTTTGTGGAAACAGAGACAAATGTATCGACATTTGACAAGTCTGTGGTCAGGGAGTTTACAATATGATGAAAAAGTCAGATTTTACTTTTATCCCTTTAAAATACTATCCATCCTTCCGTCCGTTGTCTATACTGCTTATGTATGAATAGGGACACAGGGGGGCTGTAGCCAATCCCAGCTGACATTGGGGGAGAGGTTGAGTACATCCTGGGCAGGTCTCCAGTCTGTCACAGGGCTGACATGTAGACAGACAGCCACACATACTCCTATGAGCAATTTAGAGACACCAATCAACCTAAGTGGGAGGAAACTGGAGTACCTGGAGAGAACCCACGCAGGCCCAGGGAGAACATGCAAACTCCACACAGAAAGGCCTTGAGTCAGTCTGGGCTCGAACCTTGCTGTGCCCACGGCTGTTAGGAAATACTGACATAGTTTTGGATTTGGGTTATTGTAAACTGTTGCTATAGCTTGAATATTTTTTTCTTGCTTTTTGTGACAGTTCTCCAATCTTCTGAAATGATTTGACACTTGTAGTTGAGCACTGATTTTTATATGTGAATCCCTCTTGAAAGTGCTGTCCCCACAGAAGTTATTAGAGTTTGTCGGTAGCCCAGTGCTGTGCGTTGAGATTAATCTGATTCAGAGTTAAGGACTACAAACTTGATATGTCAAACAGGCTAATGTTTTCACTGGTTAATTATTTCAAATGGTTGTAAGTGTTGTTAGATTCTACCCACATTCTTAAGACATCCTATCTCCACTAAACATTTCTAATACATAAAGTATCTATCCAATATCTATCTGACTAAAAATACCTAACAGCTGGGATGAGAGAGATAGAGCTCCCGCAGGAGTTCCATCCTCTGAACCCTGAATTAAGGTCTTACAATACATTTTATCTTCTTGGGCTGCTCCGCCCTGGACAGGGGTGCAACCTTCAATAGTTTGTGATCCTATTGGTCATTTGGTGTGAGCCGGAGCTCGCACTTCCATGTTGAAATATGGTAAATCTAGCTATGTATGTGTGTGTGTGTGTGTGTGTGCATATCTCCGGCACCCAGGTCTTGATCTCGAGGTGCACTGATCAAAGGGTGGCCTAGGTTGCAGGCCCCCTGTGTGCGTGATGCTAATTTGTATGTTAAACTGGCCAGGTGGTCATCTCAGTTTGTGGGCCCCCTGGCTCTGCAGGACACCCCAAGACTCCAATGCTAAGTGGGTCGAGGTGTGAGTGCAAAACAGGCCAACATGTCTCTGTTAAAATGTAAATAGGCTGTCCGGTCCGGAACTAAAGGTATAAGAAGTAACTAAAGCTTATAAAGTAACTAGAGCCTATAAGAATCAAATCTTACAGTGTTACAGGTATGTTTTCATGTCCGAACTACCACCAATATTCAAACTGTGTAATAAACAAAATGCTTCTGTTATGGACACAAAATGGAGATGGTGTGAGCTGCTGCCTAAAAGGAAGTGAAAATGTTACACCCAGACCTACTTGTGAATGAATGAGCTTCCTAGTCTGGGTCAGAAGTTATTTATTGCACAGCGCTTATAGCAACGACAAGATGGCATATGACATCACTTTACAGACAGCCTGTTAGTTTTTCAGTGCAGATCTGCACGAGTAATTTAATCTGGCTACAGCAACATGCATAAAACCTATATTTGTAGAGCCTTAATTATTTGCCCTTTACCAACATCATAGTGTATTTATCTTGTTTTTATGTTTTAACATTCATATTGTTTTTTCTCTTCATTTTTATTTGCATTTTGTGTTACCTTGAATTTAAAACCTACTTTTAAAGCTTTTTTTTTTTATCCCTTGAGAGAGTATTTGATCGAAGTCTTGCAGTTCATGTTTGTGCTCTTTAATGTTTCTGGACCCCAGCATCAATCAGCAAACAAACAAGCCTTATTTATACCATACAACCATATAGCTCTTTTTTCTCTAGACCTTTCACACTGAGGCCGTCATACTTATCTCCACACTGGGTTAAGAAGTGAGAAGGAAGTCTCAATATAGTGTGAGAAAGCCACACAACATACTTGCCAAATGTGCTTGCTAACAGAAAGTAAAGGAAGTGGAAGTTGCTGTGCAACACAAACTAGAAATGTGTCACCTTTTGCATTCTTACTCTATTTAATGAAATGGAGCCCATTCATAGAACATTAATTTTAGCAACAAAACTTTTTCACATATTTTATTTCTTCAGGCCTTGGTAATATGGGCTAACACATTAGGTTGTTTTATTTAAATGCTTCTTAGCACCACAAGATGGCCCTATAAGCATGAAAGTGTGTTCGATCTAGGTCTGTGGACAAAATTAAACTGTCAGCGGGGAAAAAATAAGTAAACATGCCTGTAATAGGTGAAGCTCCCTGAGGCGAAACCCCTTTAGTTGATTCAAGCTTGCCTGTACAGGAAGATGTTGTGGCAAGAAGCTGGTGTTTGTGTGCTGCCATCTGATGAGAGCGAGTATACTTTAACACAAAGGTCAGCTGAAATGTTAATGATGTGCACATTTTATTTATGGTGTGTGAATGAAGCTGGCATTGCAGTGCTAGCCAGTTTTTGAACATTTCAAATGAATTTATGACAAAACGCTGCTCCTCGCTTGTCAGATGTCAACAACCCATTGACAAGACACAGCTAATTTATTTGGCTGGTTTGTTTGATGACTCACTACTTAGATGTCATGGCATCTGATTCATCTCTGGTTCCTGCTTGCGGTGGATAATAGTCTTTCCTGCAGGTGAAGGATAGTGTACTCAGAGTAACATAGGAGGTGAACTTAATTAACTTGAAGATTTAATAAAGGCTTATCTATCAGCTGGAATCATTTGAAAGTCAATGGGAGATTCATTTAATACCTGGACGTAACTGAGGAGAAGGTGAACTCAGCTGACAGACTATTACTCTACAGTGACATGGCTCTATTATGTTAATTCAGAGTAATACATCAAATAGAGTGAATTTTGTCATGTTTCTTTCCAATAGAAAATCTACAATTCACAGGTTACTTTGGAATTCCCCACTGTTTGTGACTAGTTTTCACACCCTGGACTTAAGACAGAGCCACCCAAAGCAGTCTGTACACCAGTGGTGCAAAAGTGCATCCAGCTCAGCATTACAGAGCAAGATGCACATTATGTCTCAAATGAATGTGCTGCCATGTCACAGTGAAGAATGTGACAGGGATTGGATGTGAGTGCTGAGTCATTTTGTTGGAAGTGAAGGCAGCCAGCATCATCTCTGACTCAATCATCGGGAGCAGGCCTGGGCGGATATTTCCACCCTCTGGGAGAATGAGACCAACTTCTAGACAGATCAAATACCGGAGCAGACACATCCTGCCTCAAACTGCACATGGTAGTTCACCTCCAGTCTAAAATCTAGTCATAGTCTATTGCAATATTGTGACATTAGAATATTTCCACTCACCCTCTAACAGTTCAGCTTGTATGCTGTCGGTTTT